TCCTCAGTTATAGTCTTCAAAATAGTCCTCCAATTCAAGTTCATCTTGCTCTCATAGTACTTGATATTGATGGCATTGAGCCACTCCTTGATGCCATCAAGGGCAGCAATAGGGATGGCATCAATTCGAAGGACATCCTTCTTAAAATCCTTGAACACAATCGCCATGTCAAAAGCCTTTTGCCCAAGACCAACCCTCTCCAGATTCACAATCTCAATCTCGCTCAGTGTAATCACCAAGAAGGGGGTTTCTATTAGCTCAACTAGGCAACTGGAAGTGGGGACAATGAAGGCCGACGATTTTTGCGGGACCCCATGAAACCCTAGCTCCCTCAAGGGCTGATCAAACTCAAGCTGGAGGTTCCTCAAGTGGGGCTGGTCCCATATATCACCAACCCGGCTCACAAATGCTGAGAACTCAGAGTTTATCTTGTTGGTCCTCTCTCTCTCTTGTTGCTCCTCTTCTATCTCATCAGGGTCATAAGTCGACCTCCTCCCACCTCCAAGAGTTTGGACCACATCCATCACCTCAACATAAAACTGAACATCCTTGGTCTTCTTCTTTCCCACCATTATGTGATTGTGCAAGTGAAAATGCAGCAATGTGATCATTTCCCTCTCAGCTGGCTGGAAAAACGCATGCTTTACATTGGCATACATTATATCAACAGATTCACCTTGCCTAGAAGTGGAGAATCGAAACCCATTGAAGTGGGCCTCCAAAGTGCCTCCCATCTTGCGCCCACGCCCCTCAAAAGCAGGTCTAATCTTCAAATCAGAAAGCCTAATGGGTTTTGTCTTCGAGAGCTGGAGCTTCTCTTGGGTCACAAGGGTGGCCCTCTCAGCCCTTTCCGACTCCCTCGAGGCAACCTGCCTCCTTAAATTCTTTATGAGCTGCACCTTTTCGTTTATATGCCTCGCATCTTTGGATCGAAATGTCACTTCCTTGAGATAAATGGCCCCTTGGTTCTTGAGAGAATTCGCATCATGGGGCACAAAAGCAGTTCCAGGAACATTGAAAATAATGCGAATATAGGACATTCGGCTCCCATCTTCATAACCCCTATTGCAATCTTGCTGGCTTGTTACACTCTTCACAGTAGCAATATGGAAAGGGACCAAGCTTCCATGGATAGGTAAAAGTATCGCTTCATTCCTTTGGTCTACATAAATCATAAGCTCTCTTGAGTTCATCACATCGTCCACATTTTTATAGGCAACCAGGTCATTTGAGGTCCTCAGTGCACCACGCCCATCAGAACTCCCGAGCCCACCACCGGCAAGCCTCCTGGCTGTCTCTTCATTCTTTTGGCGAGCAAGCTCAGCTTGGTGTTGCCTCCTCTGTTCCTCTTTGGTCATCTCCTGATTATCTGATCTCAAGGTGGTCTTGGACAAAAAGCCATCTAAACCATTCATCTCAATCTTGGGCTTCGACTTCTCTTCTTCTTCCTCATCATTGAAAGAGTACGCAACATCCTTGAAGGCCTTTGAGCTAGTAGAGGTTGCCACTTCCGGGACATTCTCTCTCACAATCACAGTGTCTGCGAGCAAGAGAGAAAAAGACTCAGTTTTGGGGTTGTTGGTGGGGGCCTTAAGGTTTTGAAAACCGAGAGAGACATTAAATATCATCCCTGCTTTCACCAACCGATCATTCTTTGCGTTCAACCTCAAACCCGACTCTTGAAACTCAAGACCAATACCAGTTCCTGCTGATTTGGTCAAATTTGAAGCAAATTCGGGCGCTTCTCTCTCTACAACTTCCATTGCTGCCTTATAAGCCTCCCCAATCTTCTTCCCTGGCTTCAATGATCCTATCGCCGCCTCATGTGCCTTGAAAAGCACATTATAAGCCCTGTTTTGTATGTCATCAGCATCAATCAAGTAAGTTCTAGCAACATTAGAACAGTAACTATTGTAACGAGACCCTATAGCACATATAATCACACTTGTAGCATCATAATAAAGGTGGTCATCATTGCTTGAGGAATTTGGTCTAAGGTCAAATTGCCCACCACTCTGAAAGATGGGTGGGTAACAAATATCTACATTCTCTGCCTTGAGCTTCACCTTCGACTTTGCAGGATCGAGAATAGCCTTCTCAGTGTCATCCATTAAGGAAGAATGGGTAACCTTCTTCTCTTCATCTATGATGACTTCGAGCTTTGGGACCACAAAGTTCTTGAGGACAGATGCACTTAAGAAAGAAGCCTTCTTAACATTTGTAATCTCATTTTCATCCTTAACAGCAAAAAGCTCTGAGAACCCATTAGTCACATCACCAAGCTGAAAATTCAACTCCAGCTTCTCCCTCCATGTTTCTAGGAGCTTCCCTTCTGCAGCCTCTCTCGCAATATGCCCCACCACCACTTTCTCTGATTCAGCATGCGATTTGATTGCATTAAAAATTTCTTCCATTTGGGAAGCCCCATCTTCATTTTTGGCCTTAACATGAATCAAAACCTCCAAATTCAGTGCTGACTTAGCTGACTTTCCAAGTGTTTCTAAAAGGTTGGCCTTCTTTTGACTGCAAAGGAAGTGGATTTGTTTTGAGGTAAAGACCATGATTGTTTCAGGGAACTCATAGCCAAGAAGCCAGATATTAAGGGCAGAAGATTTGAGGTAGCGAAGGTCATCTGATGGGGGCGGGGTTGCAACTGCTATGGCATCCGCTGAAGCCCATAGAGAGTCCCGATTTTCCTCCCAGCTTGAGTAAAAGGCCTTTAACCTCTTGGAGAAGGTATCTAAATCAATTTGGTAAGAGGAAGATTTGGAGGCATTCTGCTCTGATGGTTTTGCAGTGCCATTTCTGTGGTCCGCCATGGTAAAAGCAGGAACTTACTGACAACAAAGAAACAGTGGTTACAGTAATGGCCATATACAAACCCAAGAACAAAAAAACAGCAATATTTTTACATGTTTATGCTCCTATGACATTACTCAGAGGAAGAGAGAGAGGGGGGGCGAAGAGGGAGGGAGGGAGGGAGGGGGAGAGAGAGAGAGAGAGTGTGTGTGTGCGCACGCGAGCATTTCACATAATAACAAGTATCCCACATATTCATGCAAATCTGTAGATGGAACAAGAATGACAGAAGACACAGTTTTACAGAGAGAAAAGAAGAGACTTGCAGATTAAATAAAGAAAATGGGAGAGATCACCAATCCAATAAAAACCAAAAACATATAACGATACATACAAATAAAACCCTAAAGAGCAATGAACTAGAAAAAAATGCCTAATAAGGCTGCGTTTAACAACTTTCTTTGCAGTTTCCCCAGGAAAATCCTGGTTGCTGAGTTTCCTTGAATCTGGGAAGATAGTGAAATTGGTAGCCTGGAAGCTGCGAGCCCCGTTTGATAACATGTGGTGCTGGTAGTTTCACCTGCTTGGTATTGGGAAAGCTGGAAATTTGCTTGTTTTAATTGTTCATTATGTATTTCATTGATTTGATGTATAAAATGCATATTTCAAATAAGATTTTCTTGCTACAACCCATCTAATGCATTTCTTGTAAAATGTACGGTTCAGCTTTAAACTTCCTCTTATCCAAAAGAAACCATTATCATGCAAAACAGAACTACAACATCATATATCCAATAATCTATGACCATGTTTGCCTTGATGGGCTGCAGCAATGCATCATACATAGTACAAAACTCCTCTCCCTCAATTACAAATTGGGCAGTGTTACTTCCAACCTCAGGCACATTTTTGTTTATTTTCCTAGTTGGCCCAGGCCTCTTTCCAATGTAAATTTTCCTTCCTTATTTCCTTCACTTTTGAAGAGCTCTTTCTTGACCTAAAATCTGTTCCTAAATTTCCAAAGCTTCTTGCTCATCTCCCTCAATTACAAATTGGGCACAATGTTAATTCCACCATCAGGCACATTTTTGTTTATTTTCCAAGTTGGCCTAGGCCTCTTTCCAGTGTGTAAATTTTCCTTCCTTATTTCCTTCTCTTTTGGGAGAGCTCTTTCTTGACCCAAATCTGGTCCTAAATTTCCAAAGCTTGTTGCTCATGAGGATTTCCATCTCGTTGGCAATAAGTGCGACTTGTGTGCAACATATCAGATAACAATATTGAAACCAAGGAAGATTATACAAGAATTCAAGTTATGATCACAAGGAATTCTTTGTTCATAGTTCAAACATGTAAGCAGAAACAACATTGTCATCTAGAAGATAAACTTGAGCTCTGTGACCAGTATCTTCACAGACATCCAAACATAGCCATATCTATCTAATCATACAACAAACACAATCAAGTTTAGATTGACAAGACTTAAAAGACCTCAAATGAAATTGCAAAGACCTGAAATAAAGTTCTCTCATGTAAAACAACAAACTTGGTTTATACTCTAGCATAACATACATCAGGAATCTTTCCTCAATAAAACATACATCCGAAACAACATTGAAATACTAAGAATATAACCTACATTCAAGGGACAATACGACTAAGGCAGTAGCAGCTGGGTTTTCATAGCACTACATCTCAAGTTCCATTCCTCTGTAACCTTGTAAAAAAAACAAAAAGATCTAGCACACTTCAAAAATATCTCCAAAAAAAAAAAAAAGGAAAGGAAAAGGATCAAAACCCACCTAGTTCACCCAAGCAACGATCAATTTTCACCACAAATCAAACCAAAAACCAACAAAATATAATGCCATAAAAACAAAAAACCACCAATTCTAGCAATAAGAAAGAAGAATAAGAAAAAACCATGTTAAATCTGACCCCCAAGTTTCTTTAGGCTATTGATATTCCCTGTAATGTTGTGTATCTTTAACAACAAAACCCTATTAAATTGGGGTATTCTCTACAGGGAAACCAACTTTAAAAGCACACCCTATTAAATTTCTGGAGAGAGACCAGTGGAAGCTCACACCACAATGTCAAGAGATAGACCAAAATCATCTCAAAGTTCTAGATAGGGACTAAAACCCATCTGAAGGTTCTATAACATTCAGGGCCTGTTTGATAACTGGAAGCAAGTTCATGAACTGTAAATTGGAAGTTCCTCCTTGCTGGGAAGATAGAAGTTACGGTCAGAAGTTCCTGGTTTCTGTGTTTGATAAACTCCAAGGAAGTTAAAGAAGTTCCTGGTTTCTATGTTTGATAATCTGCTGGAAGATTAGGAAGTGATAGTGAAAATTGCAAAATGTAGAGCACAGGTTTGCCATAACAATCATTCAAACCCTAAAATGACAATAGAGAGTAAATGAAAAACTCCCTAAAAAATTAAAAACAAGTACTTCAATAAATCTCGCGCCATGAACTATCCATTCCTTCAGTTGTCAATAGCAGATCAAATACACCAAATTTTGGCAAAAAACAACCTAGAGCAAAACAGATGATATAGATTGTGATGAACAGAATCACTTATACCCATCTAGCAAGAAAGAAAAAAGACAGATCTTGGACACATTCAAATTGCACCTTTGACCCATCTAGCAAGATAGAAAAAAGACAGATCTTGGACATCCACTCTTCAACAGTCTGAAAAAAAAAAAAGGACTAAATTTTTGTCCAAATGACTACATTTTCATGTTGAGAGGCCTTCACAATAAAAAAAAAATCCAAATCAGATTGTGGCAACCTTTAATGTCCATCGATGCAGTAATTAGAAAGAATCCATTCACACGATTAAAAAATTGCATGTTTAGTGTATCTAGCAAGAGATTGAAAAGCAAGATTGTTAAGGCATCCATTCAAATATCCAAAGAAAGACTAACAATTTCATATAAAAATCCACATTTTCATAAGACAACAATCTCACAGACATCCATTCATAAAATATCTGAAAAAAAAAAAATGTCTGAAAAAAGCAAGACGTCTTAGGCATCTATTCATCATAAAGAAGGTGTTCTCATAGACAGCAGTAAAAAAAACCAATTCAGTTGGGCGAGGAGGAGAATACAGTCTGCAGGGTTAGTAAATTCCCTTTGGAAACCTAAAATGTTAATAAAAAAGAAAAACCACATTTCATTCACAAATTCTTCTTGAAATTTAATATGTTGGTACTCAAAAGGAAAAAAAACAGAAATATGTGAAGAAAATGCATTATTTTTTACTAACAGTCCCCTGTCCTTACAATCCTAAAAGTTCAATACTCATTCATAGCATTAAAACTCTAATAACTCCCAAATTGGTACTCTATTTTCAAAACTCAACAAAAAAAAAAGTAAAAGAAAACAAAAGAGATAGAGATAATGAAAAGAAAATCACAAAATGCAATATACATCATTAATTTAATCTTTGAAACCCTACAAGATAAAGCACACTCCAAAACCAATGATACAAATAATTTTCAACATTCTGGTTTTATTGTCCACGAAAGAAGCCCTAAAATGCCCAATAAAAGAAAACCAGAAAAGTATTCTACCATATCCCTAAACATAACTTTAAAATCAGAAGATGCATCTTTTCTCCATTAATGATTTAATCTTTGAAACCCTGCTAGATAAAGCACAACCAAAACTAATGATTCTAATAATTTTCAACATTTTATTGTCCACAAAAGAACCCCTAAAATGCCCAATAATGAAATTTCTTGTTTTAGGGGAAATTTTTAGGGGAAAAGGAAAGGTACCTGATGAAGAGGAGTTAGAGAGAGAGAGAGAGAAGGAGAGAGAGGAAGAGGGGTTAGAGACAGAGGGAGAGCGAGGAAGAGGGGTTAGAGAGAGATAAGTATCTAATGAGGAGGAGCAGTTGCGGAAGAGGCGGAGGCGGAGGCGGAGGTGGAGGCAAAGAGGAGCAGTCGTGGAGGAGGCAGAGGCATGGAATACAGTGGCATGAGGGTGCTAAAGAAGTGAGAGGGTGAGGTAGGGATGAAGTTCCTTTTTAAGGGGCAAGCTTTCTATGCTTCCCTTACAACATAAAACTTATATACTTCCCCTAATCCAACCGTCCATTCTGAATAGAGGGCTAAGATTGGGCCAATCACATTGTCACGTCTATACACTATTTTATTTTTAATTTTTTTCTATAAACTATTTTGACACTAATTTTGTACGTCCAATCTTCTATTAAACTCACACTAGCTAAAAATATAAAAACAATATTTCCAATAAATTAAAATGATCAAAATACCTCTGAATGATTCAATGGGTATTTTGGTCATTATATTTTATCGAAAAATTATTTTTAATATTTTTTATAGTTGCGCCCCAATGATAAGATGGCATGTACCAAATTTCATATTCATACAATTTGTACAAAAAAACTAAAAATAAAATACTTTGAGATGTCGGATCTAAGATCAAACGGTGAGTGACTCTCTTGATCAAAATTGGACGGCTGGATGGTAGGGGAAGCATATATCTTCTATGCTGTAGGGGAAGTATAGAAACCTTTCCCTTTTTTAAGTTCTATGGTTTTCCACATAACTTTTTTAAAGAGTAAAAGTGGAAAGAGCTACAGTATAAAGAACTTCTCTAAATATCTTACATTTTTTTTATCAAACACAAAACATGAATAGCAACAGGTAAGTTCCATCTTTTCGGAAGTAACTTCCAGTTATCAGACACACCCTCAGAGACACCACAATATCAGGCGGAGTAAAACCAGAGGTAAGTTCCATCTTCTGGGAACTAACTTCCCGTTATCAAGCATGCCCTCAGAGACACCACAACATCAGGCAGAGTAAAACCAGTCTCAGAAATTCTAGAGAGAGAAACAAAAAGAGTAAAACCAAGAGAGAGATAGAGAGGATACCCGGTATCCTTCTGCCCAGAGCAAGAGAACAGGGTTCGTAGATGGTAAAAGCAATAAGAGAAAACTAGAGGAAAGCAGGGTTTCTATCTGCGGCGGTGGAAAGGGAGAGAGAGGTTGAAATCATATTTAGCAAATCCCAGTTTAATCGTCGATTTTTAAAAAAAAAGTTGGCGTTTTTAAATGGTGACCTTTTGAAAAGGTCATGAAAAAATCGCTGCTTACTTTTCATAAAAAAACGTTTAAAACGCGATTCTTCATAATACGATTTAAATCAGGCCAAAAAATCATATCTTTTTTACCTATAATTTTTTTTCCCTGTCTTGTGTATTGCACCCATTGCTACTTCCATGCGTTTGAAATAAAATATTATTTCAAAAAAAAAATCCTAAAATATAAATTTTTATCCCCACTGTGTTCTTCAAAGCCACAGTTGCAGATTGAAAGTATGAATTGTTTTTCCCTTTTTTTTAAATTTAAACAACGTTGTTATTATGGAAAATCATTGTGTAAATGAAATAATACTGTTTATGGCAAATCATTTTGTAAAGTAAATCAATGTGTAAAGAAAATCATATACATGCAGATTTCTGTTATTATTTGTGATAATTGTTTTTATGAAAATAATGTTTATGGCACAAATTTGAGCTAAAAAACACAGTTGAATGAGAAGCAGAAAGTGTGAGTACAGGACCAAGTAATCAATATTTTGTTTTAGATTATGTGATAACAAAGATAAACAATAAGTACAGGACCAAGTAATCAATATTTTGTTTTAGATTATGTGATAACAAAGATAAACAATATAATGTAAACTGTAAACTTACAGG